AGTAACAAATTATGTTTCAATATTTTAGAATCTGAATTCAAATGCGGTATGGTTTCAGTTTCTCACAACGATGCGGTACAAGATAAAATTTGCCTTTAATGAATAGAGCGACAGAAAATGACACTTTCACCTATGATAGTTCCATCGCAAGTTGTAAAACACGTAATACTTTGATATTAATTTACAAGAAAATCTGATGACACAACCATAAAGAAAAGTAAAAACAACACTGAATGATATATGAAATGATTTGCGAAGGCAAAGAATAGCGCCATATATGAATAAAAAAGGTATCGGCACTTCCGCGCGGGAAGTCCACGGCGAAGGCGTGGAGTCCGTTGGTGTGTGCTGGCGAAGGACCCGGGTTACGAAGGATTATGGCTCACATGGCGAAGTTTGTGGACCAAAGAAGCATAGGAAACAAAACTCAGAGCTCTGTGGGAGTATTAAAAAATAAATCATATAAGTGGTTGAATTCAACACCAATAGGTGGTAGCAGAGGAACGGGAGCTGAACCAATTCTTGCCCTTCATGTTCAGTTAGCTGGTGAGATACGCTGTCCACCTTGTTGGCCTGTGAGCCACGAATATGACTTTTGCTTAAACTTAAACCATATAACCAAGTATGTGCACATAATACATACATACATACATACATACATACATACATATATATATATATATATATATATATATATATATAATATATATATAATATGTATGCGTGTGTGTGTGTGTGTGTGTGGTATGTAAGTGTGTGTGTGTGTGTGTGTATGTGTGTGTGTGTGTGTGTGTGTATGTGTATCTACATATACACATATATACACACACATAAATACATACAAACACACACAAACTCACATACAGGTCAAACAAAACAAACACACACATACATGTATACACGTACATAGGCGTAGGAAAAGGGGGTCAAGGGAAGCGATCATCCCCCCCCCCCACCTTCCAGGACATTCTCTGTAAACAAACAGTGCAATTTCTTACACTAACACTACACTAACCCCCTATAACTGAGAGGGCAGCTAAAGCTGTCTGGAGTTTAAAATGAAATAACCATTATGGCAAGTATTATTTGTCGGGGGCCTGTAGCCTCCAGACCTACCTACTTCAAAATACCTTCCTACGCCAATGATACACACAATATATATATATATATATATATATTATATATATATATATATATATATATATTATATATATATATATAATTGAACACCTGGAGGCCCTAGTGGGCCATACTATAAAGACAGCTACGACACCAGGCAAGATCAGAAAAATCGTAGGAGAAAAGAGGTCAAACCACAACAGACCCCTCAGTCAGGTGCACAGAATACTCTGTGGTGGCTATGATAAAGTTTGCAAAGGCAAGACAGCACAAGGACTCCCCGGGCAACGAGTCAGCCAACACCACAGCGCTCTCCGACGTCACGACACTAGGAGCTCCTTCGTTGTACACGTAGACACCGACGGTCACCTCCCGGAGTGGTCCCAGGCCTCCATCATAAAACAAGGCCTGCCCCCACGACAAAGGAAGATGGTAGACGCGGCGTTCATTTACACAACGAACAACAACACCGCAACGGGGAGCTACGAACTATCCAAGGCCGTCGCTTACCTGATTACCGACGTTACCTGACCACCTGGTTCTAGTATATACACTCCTCTACGTACAGTACCTCTTGCCATGCTTTGACGAAGTAATAGCGAAAAGGCCTTCGGTATATTCGTCTGTTTTCTTGTTCTTCCCTTCGTTGTTCCTGTTGCAATTTGTTCGACATGAATTCCATACTCCCACATGTAAACCAGCAAGAAAGGGTAAGACTACTCAAAAATACTAAACAGTTGGATCAAGTAAGCCTACTCAAATATAAAACATGAGGATCAGGTAAGCCAGCTCTTAAAAAAAAATATATATGTATAAAACAGCAGGATTGGGTAAGCTTACTCAGTACAAAACAGTAGGATCGGGTAAGCCAACTCTCAAATATAATAATAGCAGGATTAGTGTACCACAGCTAGAAATGACGCCATTGCAACGTCCGATTCCTCCGCAAACTTCCACCGCTTGCGTCACCGCCGTCCACCAATGCATCTGGAGGATGTAGTGAATAGTCTGTGGCAGTAGCAATGCAGAACCAAGCGGCTTCGGTGACGCCAAGGCCTCGATGGCCGTAGAGGTAATAGCTGCATTTTTAAAGCAGCAATACCGAAGGCAAATGAGTATGTATGATATAAAAGAAGATAAAAATTATGATTTTCATAATTTTTTTATGAAAAAGCGAAATGTAAAGACATCGATATAACGGAAACTTAAATTGTAAATAATGTATATATATATATATAAATTTAAATAATAAAAACAAATGAATAATACAAATAACTGTTTCGCTCTCGCCTGTTGAAAGCAGACTGTCAACCAGCCAGCCGGCTTGCTTGCTTGTTGGATTTATTGGTCATCGACCAGCGGCATATGGCCGGCCATGTGAACACACACAGCCAAGATTATTAAGCCAATGATACTATTCATTGTTTCATTCAACCGGCTTCGACTGCATGCCTTACGGAGAGACGTTTGAGGGCGAATGCAAGTTCAACCCCCAAACAACCACACATCGGCATTATCTGAAATTGATAAACCCTGAGTTGGAATTCTTAACCATAACCAACGATATATGTGTGTACTGCAGTCCTGATTATTTTGTAAATCACTCAATACAAAAACAAAATAAAAATCCTACTATTTGAACACCTACCTTCCACGCCAAGCCGCCCTCCATATGAGGACCCTTTCCTTGTCACCAGCAGAGATCCTAAGACTAAGCTCATTCACTGCTTCACAGAAGTAGAGGCGGTCACTCAACTGAGCCAAACCAGCTCACCTCAAGTAGCCTCCCGGAGTCAGCAATGTTCATTTTGCTACTATTTTGTCAGCTCGTTTCAGCTACAAGACCTCGCTTGGTATACTTGCCCTCACCTGTATGGATCCCACTTAGGCCATGAGGCATAGCTCGGCTGTTGCACTGAGTGATCTCACTTCCTATCCCTAAGCTTATATCATCAGGATGCTTAAAATACAACATGAACAGCTGAAAATTATTGTTGACTTGACCTCTAGCAGCATTTGCAGCCCTCTTCCTCTGTCCTGTTTTATAATCTATACGACATCATTTAAAGAGAGAATAAAGAGATGAAGAGAAAATGTTTACGACTTGCCACATGATCGGCACGTGTTATAGACACGCAACTTCCCTCTCCAGCTCTGGCTAAGCCAAAACAAGTCAGGCCTACACAAGCAGCACAACACAAGTAGAGCCTCACCCTCAACTAAAGATAGAAAAGAAAATATAAACCTAGGGTAGAGCGGTGCCACATACTGGTTTTGGGTTCATGTCTGGTCACCCCTCTCAGTTGAATCAACTGTGAGTACTGGCATAGTGGCATCAGCATACTGTGGTTAAAGATGGGTTGAAAAGGAACTGGTGGCTTAGAGTGCATGTTCCTCTACGAAGTCCTGGGAAACCTCGTCTCTTCCCCAGAGATGGAAGAAGGCTGACTATAGTCCCTATCCCCAAACTAAAGGAGCCGGGGAGGTATTGCCACATTACTCTCCTCAGCTGTCTACGTAAGGTGGTAGAGAGAATGGTACTAAACTGGCTCCAGTGGAAACAGGTTCACATGGGGTATTATCATAGCTCCCAACATAGCCATCCTCTTAAGCACTGCCATCACTGATACATCTCTAGTAGAATTCCTAGGTCTGGAGCTTTTTGAACTGACAAGTCCTCTTGCTATTCAGTGACCCAGATTCATTGGGGAAGCAGAGACAAGCTTTAGGTTCACCTATTGCAACATCTGCCTCTAGAAAATGGAATGCCACAGGCTGGATCCTCATTAAAGTCCTATTCAACACCTCAATGTTGGGCATCCTTAACATACACCTTGAAGTGGGATGTAAGATCGTCTCCTATGTGAACAATCTCCACTATACGCAGCAGCCTACAGAGAGCCCAGCACTGTCTGGACCATATGTCTGTGGAATGTTGTAGAACAAGGCTAAAGATCTCTGCAGCCAAGTTGAAGGCCATGGCTCTGAGACGTCTATGGTACGTCTATATGTCCAAGTTATGTTTTCCAATACCCAGGAATATGGGTCAACCAGAACCTCATCCCAAAAGGAGGTCCAGTACCTGGTTGACCAAACTAAGGCAAGACTGTAATGAAAGCAATGACTGGAGACATAGGAGCAGGGCATTCTATGTACCTACATACTGTCCATCCCATAGTGCACTGTACGTTTGTTTCCCTGACCACTGCCAAGCCAAGACTCATAGAACTTGAAACAATCCGGTATGAAGCTACTAGGATCATTCTGACTGACTCTAGGTGGACAAAGGTTCGAAACCTCTGCATGGATGCGAACCTCCTTTCCATTGACACTTGAAGTGATCTAAAGGCAGTACAGTTCTTTGCCAAGGTCATCCAAACACCCCAGGAATATATTTCAGACAGAGAGAGTACTTAGGCGTCTGGAAATAGATTATGAGTTCTATGCAGATAACTTGGCCGTTTCATTCAGCTGGGGTACTAACACACCATCAGCTCAGAGAGCAGTTATTAGCCAAGGGCTTGGACATCCCCCCAGCCCAGCTATGTTGAACGCCCATTGTGGGCACAGACCTTAATCGAAGTTTCAACCAAGACTTTGTCAAAAAAAAAAAAAAAAAAAAAAAAAAAAAAACAGTGCAATCATCACTTCAGGTAGTAGAGCATAGTTCATGAATGGTTCAGTTGATCCCGCAATCCCAACTGCAGGAGCCGACTTAGCAGCAAGGGACAACATAACACAATATCAACAAGAGTGACAGTGCCTCCTCCACATAGAAGCTGTTGCGATTGTGGGAGCCCTAGCCTATGTATAACAAAGGGAAGGAGACGTGGTTATACAGACTCAAGAGTAGCCATTGACAATCTTCAACATGGCATTCACATCTTACATCCTGACCACTGTGCTTACTAGCTTACCCCATGCCCATTCAGTCAAGCCAAAAACTAAAGTAATAAGGCCATAACCAAAGCGGAGGCCACTGTCCTACAAATACACAGGTAAAGCGAGAACTTCGGCCTCAGCCAGATGATACTCAGATGCCAGAGGCTACGAGCCACTTGCGCTCTCTGCAACAATCACTTGAGTTGCCGGTCATTCTTTACAGAATGAGACTATACTCCGATTGTACATGCCAGATTTTCGACAGCATTAACCATGTTTACAGGTGATGCAAGCATTGTGGTGAGCCGGATACCAGTTGCACTACAGAGGTGCAAGCAGAACCACCCACCACAGCCGCAAGGCTTGTTGAAAAATTACTGCAGAGGGTTTAGCGCCTGCCGTCCTCCGCAGTAAGAATTCAGTTATGATAATTCGGTTCTAAATAGCTGAAACAAGCCAGGTCACTTATATGACCACAAATGTCACTCAACTGGACTGAATAGAGCTACGTAAAATCAAAGGAAGGTCAGCAAACGACAGAACACAGCCAGTCAGAAGACATACAAGGCCTGATAAGCTTAAGGTTATCTCAGCGGCACAAACAGTCCATACCAAGTGTTGTCACTGCTGCGAGCAAGTACTGTCTTGTGGCATCGGTGATTGATTGTTCCTCTTTGGAACAGGGTTCATGCACTTTTTTGGTAAAATTCTATGATTTTCCAGAGGTTTAGGCTTTTCACAAATTTCCTTGAACAGTTGATGCATATTCACAATACACTTAATCTATTCTAACATGTACAGTACATGTATTTCAAAATTGATGTTGTCAAATATAAAAGATTTAAGTAATGGCAAGTGTGCTTTACTCACACGTCAGTGACTAGTTGTTTGTAATGGATATACATGTATCAATATCGGCTATGTAATTTTTCAGCTTTTCAATCAGTTGCCTCAATCTTCCGAAACTTATTTTGATTTCCTTCTGAAGACTTTCAAAGAATATATATTGAAAAAATCTAAGCCGATTTTTTAAAAGAAATATTCTAAATGTCCATAATTTTTCAGACTTGAAAATAAAATTAAATTCCATGATATTCCATGTCTGAAATTTCAATTTCCATGATTCTCCAGGACCAGTACGACCCCAGCCCATACGATAATAACGCCACGCCTACCCAAACTACTTCCAGTTTTTTGTTTATGATTCAACATGCGAAAGGTAATATGATTGCTTTTCCGTATTTTTTCCCTCCCTGTCTTATTTCCTTTCAGACTATCCCACTCTAGCTTTCCTGAAGGTGATTTGTCTGGGATTGGTATAATGTTGGTCACATACTCCTTTAAATGTCCCATTTGAGGAAGAGACTACACAGAAGATAAGCCTACAAACCCTCGTTAGGTGGAGGACTCCGCCGACTAATCCCATTGACGGAGGAGGATCGCAGGAACTAGGGTCCCATTGGCATCTCTTCTACCACTTGAGAATAGCCTTGAGTCGCTCTAGTAATCCTCACTTTGACTTCCTAGACGCATGTCAAGACTGCAGGGAGGAGGGAGGTGGTGTTGTAATCCATAAGCATTTAGTTTTTTTTTTTTGTATTAACATCGAGTCCACATAATTATGTCGGAAGTCCGCATGGAAGCAGATGGATGTCAGTCTCCTGAAAAGAGGATGGGACTCCTGGTGATATCTCTCAACATAATATCAAGATGATGGTGTCAAGCAGGTTCAGAACCATGACCATGACAGCGAAGGAAGAAAGGCTTCATGTACTTTGATTCTCAATATCCTCAGGGAATATCGAATGTGAGCAATATACCGATGAACCCCAGTGCATGGTATGTTACTCATACGAACATGCAAGAGTACATGTTTAATATGGACTGCAAAATCTATAACATGTTTAGAGAATGCCCCAGTAAAGCAAATCAGGGTGTGGAAATTGATGAAAACCATAGAATCATTTATGCAAAATGCAAAAGCCTGAAAGGAAAGAGAGATTAAGTAGATGATTTACAAAGAAAAAGAAAATCACGTTACCATATATCCCTGTGGTGAGAAGCCAGTTGATTAAGCCCTGAAGAAGCATCAACAAAAATAATGGCCCTTCCACACGACTTTTCCTTCAAGGTATTAGCTGTGCTGATAAATATCCAGCTGTCTAACATCAGCAGACCAGGGACATACCCGAAGTAGCAGAGGTAGATGTTCCAAATGATGCTGACTTGTGCAGCCTTTCAGTTAATCTCGCCATCATAGGCTACCGGAAAAAAACACTTCAAAACACTTAAGACTCCACAGCACAATCCTCCGAAGATAAACCATCCGTTCGCCCAAAAATAATGATGCCTATCAATCTCTACACAAGTACAAGTGTAGAATTCAGGCCTTAGAAACCGCACTTTCCGTCATGAACAGAAAAAAAAAACTTCCCAGGAGGAACTAGAGATCGTGCTTCCTGCAGACCAACCAAGTCAAAACACGAAAGACCTAAAAAGAAAAGAAAAAAAAAGGCACATGAGGCAAAGAAATATGCTATGGCAAAATTATACAGAGAAGTGCTCAGTAGAGGTATAAACTAGTGTGTCCAAGAGAGGGAGCTTATTGCTAACTTCTTATTCCTTCGGAGTTGGGTTCTCTTCCCCAGTCCTGTGGAATATTTCGAGTCTCCTACTCCCTTCCTTCTCCCTGCATTCTTTTGTTTGGCTGAAATATGTTTACGTCTTTACTCCCTGGCCTTATGGCCGGTCTTCCTGGCGGAGCAGAACTCTCTCTCCTTTCATTCGTTTCAAGGTAAAAAGGGAGGCTGACAAGCTCCCTTTCTTGGACCCTAAAATTCAGTGCTATGCTGGTCATTCTTCCCTATGTTCAGGAAAGCTAAGGACATTGCTCCTCCTCTCTCCCACCGGTACTCCTTCCTCTTCCTTTCTTCCTCAGACCTGAAGAAATCCTGGGGGATTTTGAAACTGTGTGCAAACTTGTATTTAGTACTTATGTGTATGTACACACGCAAACACACAATATATATATATATATATATATATATATATATATATATATATATATATATATATATATATATATATATATATTGTGTGTGTGTGTGTGTGCATATACTAGGTCTGATTGTCTTTGAATATAAGCTCTTCATAAGTAATGTATGCTAACCTTAACTGTATGTGTTTATTAAAGAAAAAAATAAGATATTTAGATTTTACAATTCCTTAATAGAATTGAAGCTGTCATCTTTGTCTACAAACTCGGAACTTTTACCGTCAAATAATCCGGAAAGGGGGAGTGTCGCACATGGCAATGCTGGAATTATACAGAAATTCATCTGCTAAACGGAAACAAAAGACGACCGACGGATGTTGACGTCACTGCGGAATATTTTTCCGAAGGTCTTATTTTAGTTATTTTGTATGACTACAGATGTTTTGATACAAAAGAAAAGTGTTTAAAACAATAATCAGACATTTTCCCATGTTCAAATAAATTAAACTTGAAAATACCTAAAACCATTCTGGTATGAACTGATATGATGTGGCAGACCAAACGTCACCGCGGCGGAAATTTCATCCGATGTCACTTCAGCTATTCTTCTTGCTGGGCATCCTCAAAGGCAGAGCCACAGTCCCATAGAGTGACTTTAAACCTTCAGCCCTACAACACACTATGCATAAAGAAATCAAGTTTACAGGATCAATGTCGCTTTTTCTTAATCTAATACATTTTCTAAGATGCGTGTGAATGTTACATTACTGGCTTGGCAATGTATTGTATATTGTTTTATGCAATGCAATAAACAAGAAAGTAACGCAAGGAATCTTAAAATCACTAGACTTTGATCCTACGGACTGTAACTGTTACCTAATATTCATCCGTTTACGATAGTGTATGGTTTATTATTATTACCTATATCCGCTTTTTCTTTATCATCTGATGCAGAAATGTTGCAACGGAAAAGCTGACAGGCCTGTCACTAATGGTGTCCTGCGCCCAAAGATCATGACGTCGTTTATAGAGACGCAGCGGTTTTGAAGCCATTGTCGTTTAAAGGTTCAGCAAGTTTATACTTTGAATCTGAAACCTAATCGTGATGTTATGCTAAACGTTTTCTTTTATAGTCTATTAATATGTTGCATGTTGGATTTTTCCAACCTGGATATAACATTGTCTTAGCTGCGTCTCTAAACTCTGGAATTCTCGGTGGGAATTTCTTTCCGATTTTCTTTTCACTTTTCAGAATTACATCTGTAGTTTGAGTATCTCACAACTTATAAGAATATACTGATATATAAATCGTTTACAATTATCATTAACATTAAAATGTCAGAATTTTCGTTATTACTTATAATAAACATTAATGGCAACTGAACCCCATGTTCTCTATGGAGTTGATGACCAGGGCTCTCACAAGCAGAGATAAACATTACCTTAGATGTTGTCGATTTTTACCTGTTGAACTGTTGGAGCATATCCCTGAAAATGACCTTAGTTTTTTATGTGATTTTATCTAAACAAACGTATTTTTTTTTTTGTTCGCAATACTTTTAATGACGATTGCACAGCTGAAACAGGTCTAGTTTTTGGTAGCAATCAACGTAATACGCACATGTTTTTTTTTAAATATACCTGATAGGCTACATCACCACTTTAGCATAAATAAAACCATTAAGAAAATTAATGCCCTTTCCTTCTTCAACATGAATAATACTTATCTTTACAAAATAGAAATAAAAAACATTTTCAATTACTGACAGTAAAACTGTCGAAAGTGTTATCACACTAGATCATCAATAATACTTACCTTTACAAAGCACACACACAAAAAACACATTTTCAAATACTAACTGACAGAAAGACTGTTGAAAGTTATCGTACTAGATCATCAATAATACTTATCATTACATAATACAAAGTAATTAGAAGACTGCCTAAAATGGAAACACAGAGGAGTTGCTGTTCCATAGTAAAATAACTTTCCTTTTAAGACCA